ACGGCGAGTAGATGTCTAGACGTTTATTAGTTTCCTTATAGTCTTTCATTTCTAATATTTTCTTTAGATAACTTATTTTTTGATATTGTTAATACATTTAAGTTATTGTGTAAGGGATATTAATCAGAACTTTTTATTTCGCTTCCGCACTAATATTCTTTATATACATTTTCTTTTAAATTTTCGGAGTTTTTATAGTTTGTCTTCTATCTAATTATGAAACTTATGGTTTAAAGATCAAGAAGATTTTCTAAATATATATTATATAATTGGTTTAAAATATAACTTCACAATTTTTTTAAAGAAATTAGATTTGTAAAAAAATTATTAATTTAATAAAATTTATATGTTAGAAAAATTTTAAAAGTAAAAAATTTTATTAAAATATTTATTTATGTATCAATAAATGTGACTCAAATAGTCGTCTCAATTTAAAGAATATTGCTTTAAGCGTCATATATAACTTTAAAAGTAATTTAACAGAATACTACTAAAAAAAAAATTATACTTTTAAACTTACTTGTTGTAAGCTGTGTATTTATTTTATATACCAATATGAATCATGTTAGTTTCAACTCTGTTGGAAAAAAATATTTTTAGAATTGTAAGTCAAAATAATGTATATTATCACACAAAATTTTCTGCATATTTTGAGTAAAGTTCTATAGTACTTTTTTGGACATTAAACTGAATTTAAACTATTCTTTAACCTTTCCATATATAAATACATGTCTGGAACAAATTTCAAAGAAGAGACACTTTGATCAGAAACGTAAAATTCAAAAGTGCAATATTTTTCATTCTCATGAGCCTTAATTGAGTTAGAAAGTGCAGTTTTTTGTTAGTAAATGTAACAGCCCCGGAAATTCATAATGGAATGTATATTAAAAATATCAAATGCGGAAGCGAAATCAAAAATTCGATTAACATCCCTTACACTAAAACTAAAAACGTGCTCACAATATAAAAGATCAAACTACCTAAAGGAGAAACTTGAAAGTAAAAGCTACAAATATGACTATGGAGTCTTTAGGCGTCTCCTTCGTCGTCCTCCTGCGGAACTGGCTGGGGAACAATGTCTTCCTGATCTGAAATGATTAAATAAGGAATGAGCTACACTAGCCCAGTAAGGACATCACGATATCTCACCGTCACGGAGGTAAAGGTGGGTAGAAAACACAAAAAAACTAATGGAGCATAATTTACAACAAAACCTTTTATCAATAATAAAACCTTTACCATTCACTTACCCGGTGAAATTCATATGACAATATACGAAAACAATAACATCATTATCATCGTGAAATCATATATAAACTGTATAACGTAATACTTGTCAAGCCTTTCGAAAATCAATCGTTGACAATATATTTTCCTCATTTTCCAGCCCACTAGTATCCATGGGGATCCATAGGGGTCCTGCTACCCGTTAACCCTTAACACTTGAAATCAGATTCGAGGGCCGTCCCCATACCCCGTCCGGTATGGGCGCCAAAACTATAAACCTCATTACCCCGTCCGGTATAAGGGTGAAACGGGCCGTCCCCATACCCCGTCCGGTATGGGCGCCAAAACACATAAGATCTCCATACCCCGTCCGGTATGGGAGACCACAATCCCGGTAGGGTTCCCTACGGACCCGGTCCGTCCACCATCTCCCAGGATATCTAGTCAGGCTGACCATATTATACAATTACCCATTTACATAATCTTTCATTCTCTTTTCCCTCAGTCAG